TTATATATATATTCATCCATTAATTCCATTTATTATGAACATAAGAAAATTCAAATTTATTTTACTTTCTCAATATTTTATATATATATTCATCCATTAATTCCATTTATTATGGATGTAAGAAAATTCAAATTTATTATATATATCCATTAACTACAGATGTAAGAAAATTCAAATTTATTTTACTTTCTCAATATTATACTGTATATATATATATTCATCCATTAAATTCCATTTATTATGAACATAAGAAAATTCAAATTATTATATACATCCATTAATTATAGACAAGAAAATTCAAATTTATTATATATATATATTCTATTTATTATGAACATAAGAAAAATTCAAATTCATTATCATAAAAAAATTCAAATTTATTATACATACATTCATCCATTAATTATAGATGTAAGAAAATTATATATATATTCATCCATTAATCCTATTTATTATGGATGTAAAATTTATCTTCCCAATAATTCATATATATATTCTTATTTATTAACTTTATTATAGTTTCAATAATATCAGAGCCTGGTATTTATTAATGTATGAAATTTATAATAGTCATGATGAACCAAGATTTTTTATTGAAGAAAAATATAGTAACTTATTATAATTTGAATTATTAATATATCAAGAAAACATGCTATATATTAATTCAAAAAACAGCATCCTTGATATTGCTTAATTCTAGGTATGCATGCATAATAGCTATAAATTCATATATTGTATGTAATTTAAAACTCAACGGGTATGCATTATTTTAATTTATATATGAAAGGATCTGCATAAATTTAGCCAATCATTTTTTGTTTTGATTCTTTTTTAGAATTACACAATGAATCTAGAATGTTAATCATTATATACAGTATTTGGAAATTCCAAATTTGGAAATCTCCCTGACTGAACTAGATGAGAAACAAAGTTTTTAAAGCGCATAATATAATACAGTCAGGGATTTTACCAAATTTGGAAATCGATTTCAGCCTCATTCATCGATCAATTCATATATGTAGCAAACGAATTAACGTGATACTTCCACTACATATTGATAAAAAAAATTTATTAAAAAACCCCTATTAATAATAATCGAAATATATACTATTCAACTTGCTCTTTCATAATCTGTTAATAATCTGTTATAATCTGTTAAGCTGTTCAAAGTATGTTTTTACTAAAAATCAAGAAATTTTACGTGTCAGAAAAGGATTTTTTTAAAAAGAAATTTTTTTTTCTAATCTTTAGTGAATAAAATGCCAATACCGCCTGTTAACACTTTACCTTGACTATTTGCTATGTTTATTCAAGAATACAAGTTGAGCCCATGTGAAACTAAAAGTGATCAAACTTGGAGGCGAGCCTCAGGAAGCAAAGTAGTTGGGTGTGTAAATATATTTGCTAAGTATATTACTGATTTATCTTTATTAATTAATTCTTTAAATGAGTACTCTGTTTGTGAAAAACATTACAACCAAATTATTATGACTAACAATATTCTTGAGAAATTAAAAGCAGAATATACTTCTACTCCCAGCTCTTCAGAAGAAAACCAGCAAAAAAAACTTGACTATTGATAATGATGCCAAAGATTACACAAATCTTTTCTTAGAATTAGAAGGAAAAAAAAATTTAATTGATTTTGAATACCAAAAAGTTCAATATTCTGAAATTATTATTGAAAACAAGCAAAGAATAATTGAATTGGAGTTGCTGAATGAATCATTATTGTCAAAAAAAGAATTATTATCAGTTATCCAAACATTATTGGGATCCTTGAATGAAGCTAATCATCCACAGTTTAAAGGAATAAAGTCAAAGAGTAAAGGTGAATTATTATCAATTTTGCAACAAGTTAAAGATCTTTATAATGGAAATGATAATAATGAAGCAGAAGACATGATATAGGAGGAAAAATAGCAACTAATAAACTTTAAAAAATGAAAACAATTGAATATTTATTATATTTATTGTATTGTTTATAACTTATACTAAGCCATTCTTTTTTTTTATTTTGATTATAGATTTATTAAAGACTTAGAATCTTCAAGCAATTGATTTGTTTAATTTTATTAATAATGTATATAACAATCCTCAAAACAATAGGTCACACAAATGGCATTTAATTTTATTATCATATTTGGTAAGAGGAATTCATATTTTTTTTTATTGTTTAATTTAAGTTACTTGGCAATCAGGATTTTTGGTGAAGAATTATACATATTATTATTATTATTATCATTATTATTTTTATTAAGAAAAGTGGATATTATATTGTTATGTTATATTGTGGGGAATATAATCATATTATTATTTTTTATTTATATTATTTATAATTAAGAAGTTATCTTTAATTATGATCAATACTTTCCGGGAAGTCTATAAGCTTCCATACAATATATAGATTATATATTTATTTATTTTCTTATGATTTATATTTGTATTTTAAGAACTGTATTTTTATTATTTAAAAATGTAAAATTCAAACAAATAAAGATAACTTTTATATAATTTTACATGTAAATAATTGTGATAATTATTTGAACGTTTACATAACCATTGTATTTTTCCTGAAGGTTGGACAACACTTCTTGTTTATTACCAAGTTTATTTAATAAGCTTCCTTTATCTCAAACATTTGTAAAACCATATGCTCCAGATAATACAGGAGATATTGTTAACAAATACCTCTTTGTTGTCTTGCCTTTCCCTTTGTTGGGTTTTCTTTTTAGGCCGACGGTGGGTTTTTTGTTTTTTGGTTGTTGTTGTTGTATTTTTTATTTCTTTGGGTGAGACTTCGAAATGATTATTTCGTCTATTGCTATCCCCAAATAAGTTCTTTTTTCCCTCCTTGCTGTCTCCATCACTACGTGACTTGTGGATGCCTATATGAAAGGATTGTTTAGTATTATTATTCTTATAGAATTATAACAACAACATTATTATTTACCCAAGCCAAAGAATTTTGGATTTGCAGCATGCAATCCTTGTACATTGTATCTCTATTTATCAATAAAGATTTTGGCAGTCTGGGAACAGTCATTAGAATCTAGAGAAATTTTTCTTAATTTTTGAGGTCAAAGCTTCTTCACTCATTCGGTTTTGAAACTCATTTAGACTATTGTTTAACTTTTCCAAAACATATTTTACTATGCCATCGTGCATACTTTTTTCAAGGCTGTCTACACAGTCCTTGGTCATGCGTTCGATGTTATGGAAAGTTGTAGAATGATAGAAACCTGGTTTTCTATCTTTCGTTTTTGCAATTTTGGTTTTTAACGCCGAAATCTGTTTAGTCATCGATACAATATGATTGTGGAAGCTGATTAGGATAGGTTTAATTAAACCCTTTGAAGCCAGCTCGCTTTTGATGATTGGTGACCCTGGAGTGGTGGAGGAGGAGGAAGAGGAAGAGGAAGAGGAAAAATTAAACGAACCTAAGCTCTTAACCATCTTGTTCACATGGTCAGATACTTTGGCTTGTCTTTTATTATTATTGTTGTTGTTGTTCATTTTTGTGGTGACCGAAAAGTTTCTCAAAGAAATTTATATATTAGTGGAATGAAGAATTGTTTGTGGGAGGAAACAAAAAATTTTTTGAGAAAAATTTTTTATGAATTTTTAAAAAATATAAAATCTCAATTTCTTTTAGGTATTTCTTTTCACCAACTGCTTTACTTAATCTATGTTTTTCTAAGAGCTCTATTTCATTAACTATTTTATCTATTTTTTGACTTATATTCCAGAGCTGGTTGTAATTTTTATAATTGAGAAAAAGTCCAATCAATAAGTCACAAATAAATTCAGTGATGAAGGAAGGTAAGCATTTTTGTTAAATGGTTTTTATAGGAAAAATTATATTTATTTATAGTGGAGTTATTGAAAAAGATAATTTGAAGTTTTATTCTTTTACAATTTTTAAATATCAACGAAAGTTATGACTATGATTTTTGATTATTTGAATTTTATTTACCTATATATAATTTTTTTGCACTTATTCTTGAAACTGATTTGTATGTTAAATGTACATAAACTCTTTTTTTAATTTCTTTTGTCAAATTCATTTGAACCCTGAAATCATTGGGTAGTAGTACAAATGTTCACTTTGTTGAATTTTGTTGTTGCAACATGGCCCATACAATAA